TTCAAGGCAAATCTAATGAACACGCTTCAACATCAATCAATATTATTCATCTAATCACCCTTCCTCCCCAACAATTGTTAAGTAGAGCAAACCACAAGAGCATATAGAATTCAAGACTAACGCTCACACACTCAAATCTCATTTATGTGGCGAGTAAAAGATGTACTCGATCGCTCTCCAACCAACCCCTTTAATGCGAACAATGCCCTCCCAACTCACACTCTCGTGTGTATAAAAACAATGAACGCTCATCCTACTAGTCGACTCGAAATATGCCAAGTCATAACTTGCATTGATAAACAACACTTTCACATTTACATAACTTCTATGCACAAGGTCGGAAGGTCTTTAAAGCTTGTAATATAAGGCTATGGTAAAGGGTAGGATAAATTTGGGATTATGTGAGACAAAAGCTATGCATTAAGGGAGCTAAATCCTAATAAACCCATGATCAAAATAAATGATGATCATACATCTCCAACACAACCAACTCTAACAAAAATCACCAAATACAACTCTAATCATCATAAACAATCCCAACACTTACAATATCACTCATAAAAATATGATAATGTAGAACTTTGAGTGAAAAACAAACTTTGAACTCATTCTTTTTTTTTTTCTTTTTTCAACTTGAATTTTTTTCTTCTTTTTTTTTTTTGAACAACCTTCAAATAGAACATTTGAGCATTAAATTTTTTTCTTTTGCTCTTTTTTTTTCTTTTTAACTCATATTGGAAATTTCAACTTTGAAACACAATATCAATATTTTCCAATCAAAAATCAAAGAACAAATAATCTTCTTTTATTCCCACATTGTGCAAATAATGTGCACACCACAACTCCCTCACCTCACCAACTAATAGCTCCCCCAAGCCAAGCTTGGGACTAGTAACCAATGGGGCTCATATAGGCTTGTAATGTGGCTAAATAAACAATAAAATGGCACAAGCAACAACATGGGTAACAAGAAGGGAACAAATGTATCTAAATACTCTGAAGGCTACCTAAAAGAATGAACGCCTTCGTCCTCCTCGTGTACATAATAATAAGTCATGAAACACTACTCATAGTTGCAAATCAATACTCAAATTCATTGACATACCAGGAATTATGGAACTATCACACATTTCCTAACCAAATCAACTAGTCAAGCACTATATTCACAAATATATAGTTGGCAAAATTGACTCATGTTGAGGAATCCAATCAATTAAACTTCAAATCATGACCAACAAATCCACAATGCTCATTATCAATAACCAAGAATCAAAACAAATTTTCTGAAGTATGGGACACAGGGAAGCATGATTTACAATTCATTGGAACGTATTTTTGAATTTTTTTATTTTTCAATTTTTTTGTATTTTTCATATATAAGAAAGCAATAAAAACTACACAAGGAAAACAATAAAAACTACACTAGAAAGCAAATAAAAAGACAAAAGGAAGAGAATTACCAAGCGAAAGAACACCCCCCCAAGCCAAATCAAGTAATGCCCTCATTGACTTGGGAGTGTAGTCTACTCCTCATCCTCATCCATCCTTAAATAGCCCCCTCCGTGGCTAGAACCGGCTCCTCCATGGCTAGAGCCACCACCTCTATAACCCGAACCACCTGCAAAGTAGTTAGGGTCCACATTCCCCCCAAGCCCACCAAAAGGTACATCGGTCCCATAACCATGGACCGATGAGTAGTCGACATAGGTACCGTAGACACTTGGGTTCGTATATCCACCTTGCGGATATTGGAACCAATCGGGGACAAGTGAATCGGGGGGAATAGCCCCCCGACGGGCGTAATCATCATACATGGGGTATAAACCCCTCCCTAGGTTCCTCTCCACATACCCCACCCTTCTATCTAGAGACCCTACTCTAGCTTCCAAGTCCCTAACCATACCCTCAACTCTCCCTTGCCCCCTCTCAATCCTATCTAATTGGCTCCTAAAAGCCGAGAAGTCATAAGGGGCGTTGGGGTCAATGTTGTAGTTGGCTGAGGAAGTGGGAATATCATATGTAAAGGGTGGAGGTGGTGGATAGTGTGGTGAATGGTGATGAGGTGAGTGGTCTATGGGAGATTGGTGGGGTTGAGGTGAAGGGTGAGGTGGTTGAACCTCACCTTGACCGTGAATCTCGAAAGTGTAAGAAGGTTTCCCCTTCTCAAATTTGGTCAAGGTGGGGTTGGGTAAAGTGAAAGCATTATCCCTCCTACCCGATTCTCGTTGAATCACCCACCAAGTCTCCCCTCCCATGACATTAACCCAATTAAGGCCACCTAAATAGGGTAGGTCCATAATAGTTAGGCCGGCTACCTTACCGTCATCGTTAGGGACAAAGCTAAGGTGTTTGACTGCTATGTGTGTAACTAGGCCATCGAAATAAATGGGTACCCTAGACCTACCCGCCTCGACCGCATTGGCCACCCGTTGGAAGTGGTTGGCCATTTTGTGGACTATATTGAGCTTTTCACTCTTAGGGATCATGTATGACCCTAGCAATTCAAGCTCATCCCGCCTAACATTGGCGGGTTCATGCCTTCCAAAAATGGTTAGGCCAACAAACCGTTGTCAAATCTTTGGCACGGGATGTTGTATCCAATATATACGTAGTTTCATGTAATTTGTTAATTTATAATTAATTATAATATAAATTATTTAATTTTGATTTAATTTGAGTATAAAATTATGATTTAAGATAAAATATATTCAAATAATATCTTTTACATTATCATTTTAAGTTTAAAGTTAGCCAAATTTTATTGATTTTGACATATTATTTTTTTGGGTTGATTTCTGTACGAAATTATACTAAAGAAGAATAGGTGCATATCAATGAAACGACAAGTGTTGCTTGTTATAATGGAAGAGGTTGAGGGCTGCGAGGAGTTGAACCCCTATCACATGGGGAGGAGATAGAGGGACTAACCATCCCTCCATCTCCTCATTTCTTTTCACTTAATTAATGAACATACTAAATAACAGAGAATCTATATCTTGTATTCAAATATTCAATCATACAAGTATAAAGATAGGTCATAGGTGTATCCAAGTCTATATTTGATGGTTATTAGACGTTAATTTTTACCTATCCATATAAACAACTGAGTAGTAAAAAGCCTTAGATACGCCTAATCCTTTAATAGCGTTGTGAGAAATTGATTATTAGTCATCAGATTTATGTAAAATTATGTTAGTGTCACTATTTAAACTTTTTTTTTTTAACACTAAATTTTGTTATTTTGTATTATAGGTTGGTGTATCAATAAAAAGATCACTATATTAAAATTAATGTTATTATGTTGGAATAAAGATTAGAGTAATAAATTTTATAACGAGAGTTTTAATACATTTGTCCATATAAATAATAAGGGTCAATACGTTAAAATTAGGATCATTGTAATCAACATAATATTAGTTGCACGCGTAAACCTCACATCTATAATTAATAATATTGTGAGTTAGATTCACACAATATCAATAAAGATCATTATATTAAATTTAGGGTTATCATATTAATTTAATTCAACAAACTCATGTCTACAAATCTACGATAATGTTTTTTTGAACCAGATCCACATAAAATCTTGCGTGGACTGGTTCACAATAACATTATTGTGAGCCTAAGTTTTATTCACACGTAATTGACATTATATTCAATATAGTGACCTTTATTTTTAACATAGTAACCTTATTTTTAACATAGTATCCTTTTTTTTTTAATTTTGAGTGATCTTTAATGTTATTATGAACTTAGAGTACGACATTATGTTGAATAGTGACCTAATTTTAACATAGTGATCTTTATTATTCATATTTACCATTATATTAAAAATTTCATTAAAAAAATTAACCTTTCATAGCTTTTATAATGTCACACTAATTTTTATTTCAACATAATTACCTTTTTTTTTTAATAGACAACATAATTACCTTTATTTTAATATAGTGACCTATTTTTTTTATTAATAAAACAATCATATTATCTCTAATGTTAATGGTCCATAATAAATTAGTGTAAACCAGGTCCATTTAAGAATTTGTACCAGATCCAAATGAGTTTTTTCCATCTATTTTCCAATCTCCTTCATATTATTGGACTCACTTTGTTTGGATTCTTACATTAGAAGACCAGTCTAATTTGGCGCCTTGACGGTTGGTGGTGCGAGCCAAGCTTGACTAATTTATATTGGTTCAGTATTTTGTACAAATAAATTTGGCATAAACTTCAATTCACTAGTATTGTTATCACATGTACTTTCAGATAAATAAATACTTTAAGACCAATTTTACTAATTCAACACTACTTTTTACGCACAATTTGGTTTCTTGCATAGGCAACTTTTACGCGTGCTTACCAAGCATTTGCTACCATTTGACTTAGTCATAATGTCCTAATCCTATTATGGAGCTTCAATGGCGATTCAATAAATCATCAAACCATACTTTTTAACAATAACCTCATCTTCCATTTTTGAAAAAGACCCATAAAAATTGCATAATTTGTGTTCCACCTAACATTAAAATTACAAACAAGGCTTGTTCTTAGATAAAGTTACAAACTTTCTAAATAACAATATGAATAGCTATCATATACGAATATGACCATACAAGTAATTCATTACTATTTTCGTGTTTTGACTTTTTTCATGAGATCAAACAGCCAAAATTAGAGTAAATATATTTGATACAAGAAAATCTAATAATGCAAAAAAGCAAATTCTTACTAAAATGAGAATATTGTTGTTTAAGGCAACAACCACCTTTAAACATTGACTTTTGATAGCATTATCCTAATGTTGATTATTTATCATATAAACAGCTAAGAGTTGGCCATTGACTAACATTGCTTATAAAATCTTTGATGATACCAACTAGTCAAACCAGCTAGATAAAAAAGTCAACAGCTTATTACCAAATAAGACCACTGCCACATATAACCAAGTAACAATAGCAACACTTATGTACCAAAGGAAAAACTTATTCCAAAAACTTATTCCATGAAAGCAAGTGAACAAGACATTGCAATTTCTCGTCCTTCCAAAGGCCTTAAAATTTTCATAAAGTCGCTTACATCCAATCAAATGAGACCTAGGTAAACCTGAGACTAGGAGTCAAGGGGGCAGAAGAACCGATTTACAAGATGGCTAAACAGGGCAGCAATACTAATCAGACATTTACAATTTCATTTTCAACCACCAGAAGCGGCATTTTCATTGAAGTTCCACTGTTCACATACACATTCCACATTCCACATTCCATCAATGTAGTTTGTTAGTAGACTTCAGCACAAAAGTAGTGCACAGTCAAATGGCAAATTGACAAAGGACCCTGAAAAGAAGAGAAAAAAAAGGGGAGGGAGGAGAAAATCAAGAGGTGATGATAGTAATCCTGAACAAAGGACTAATGACATCCAATTAAGCCACCGGTGGGCGGAGCACATGATCCTGAGATGTATCGACTGAAGCTGGAGGCATGAACTGCCACATAGCAACTCCCGGGTATCCCATGAAGGGTACCAACTTGCCTCCTGGAGCTTGAGTTGGTGGAGCAAAAGCAGGGATAGCAGTTGGGGCGGGGAGATATCCTGGCTGGGTGTTGATGGTCTTCAATTGCTGCTCTAGCTTGTCCTTCTCAGCCTTCAGCCTTTGCTTCTCATCACGGAGTTCAACCTTCTCAGTCTAAAGAGGACAATAAACAAACTTATTATCATTTTGCAAAGATCTTATAAATTTACAATGCTAAGCAAAAACTGATAGTCAACACAGACCTTCAATTCCTTTATCTTTTCCTGTAAATTCGAATTCGAGTCCTTCAACTTTTGGGCCTCACTCCTTAACTGTGTCACCATTCGAACAGCATCACTCAAAATGGCTGCCTTGTCAGTCTTAGGAGTTCTACCAGGTTCCAAAATTGCACCTAATTCCATAAACCTACACATAGACGTACAACAATATTTCATTAACACATGCAAAGCAACAATAAGTACCTATTGTGTATCCTGCTACAAGCAATTCTAATAAAAAGCCGTATCTATAACCAGTGCAAACCGATTAATCTGACAAACTTATATAGAAGGAAGGAGAACTAACTTGTCATTAAGTCGGTCTCTACGTGCCTTCTCTCTGCAAGCTTTGGAGCTAGATGGAGCACATGATTCTGATCTTCCCCTGTAATAGGGAACATGATATGATTTACTAACATTACCAATAAAAACATACCTCAACACAACAACATTCCCTTAATGCCTCACATGAGGCACCCAATGCATAAATGTAGAGAGGTCTTACAAATATAAATTGAATATGATGGAAAAGTGATGTAGTATGATTAAATATCTTTTAAGGCCTACCACATTATGCAGATTGATACTCAATTATTATTTATTGATAAAAATAAAAGCCACCTTTCATGTCTTGTCAATAAACACAATGGCAGTAACCTGAAAGAAGGACCAAAAAAAACAAGGCCACAATCTCTCACAAGCTCACAGTCCAAGAACAAAGGTTCTGCCAGTTTGATTCATTCTTAATCTCTCCAACTTAGCACATTTTGAATAGATCTTCCAAGTTCTAAGTCACATAACTCTATTGAACTCTTTTTTCGCCATAATCAGTAGCTGCAGAACTAAATAATAAAGGTCCAAGAAAAAGATTGCAAAATGAAATAAAAAGAACATAAAGCATACCTCTTTTTTGAGTTGATCTCCTTGGGGGCATCTGAATCGCCATAAGTTCCATCTATGTCCGCACTGAGATAAACAATGAGCAAGTATAAGAAAATACTGATATTATGTATTGAGATTAGAGAGTGTGATCCCAAGAATACCTTTTAACATAGAAAAACTATGAGTATTAGAGAGTGTGTCATGTTTGCATAGAACACCACAAAATAAAAGTAACTAATCACAACCAGGATTTAGCATTAAAAGTAATACAAGGAAATTTTTATCCCAATGCAGAATGACTCATCCCGATATTGAGCTCTTCATACTGGCTTAAGGTGTGCAACTGTGCACAATGGAACCCTTACATTATAACTCCACAATCTAAACATCAAAGTAATAGCAAGGATTCCTGAATCATCGCCACAGGAACAATTTTTAGACATCAAAAATCACACAACTTATTGCACCTCCATAATCCCATCTAAATCCTAAATTCGATACTCATCACCTAATTTTCTCGGGTCCTAGTATTCGATCTCCCCAAACAACTCCACCTGTTTTACTTAACCATTCATTCATTCAGCAATGCACTTCATAAAATATATTGATGGTTTCTTCCTATATTACCAACTCACAAAATGTATGAAGCATCATCTCAAACTCGAACAAGAGGTGGTGGATAAATATTAAGATGGCGCCACAATTCACTAGTATTAATGAACAACTTCGAAATCAAAAGCTATCACATAACACTACCAAACTTGAAACATCTATCCTTCATTGATGCATTAAAAAAAAATAACTTTATACAATAATGTTTAATAAAATCATTATCAAGACTGACTAATTATATGCACGTTGCAAATTTAACAAAAGTACATGAAAAATCGAAAAATAATTCAAAAAAACACAAACCCTAATCATATATTCACCAGATTCCAACAGAGGAAAGGCGAATCCGAAAATTCAATTAAAAGAGCAAAATCAAATTAAAATAAAAACCCATATAATTCATTCCTCAAAAAATAATAAGTAATTCACAAATTCCCCAAAATTTTAATTTTTAGCCACATAATTAACAAAATCATCAAGTGGGGTCAAAATTGAAAACCCTAACCTCACAAAAAAATTCACATGAAATTCCCCCAAAAATTAAATTACAAACAACACAAAAATAAAGGGAAATTACCTGACATTAAATGGAACATTCAAAGCTTGCTGCAATTGACAATTATTGAAGGCAGAATTAGGGGCAGAAAAGTTACAATCAGGAACAGAGATCTGGATATCATCTATATAAGAATAATCATACAACCAATTAGGGTTTTCATGGGACACCATCTCCGGTAGAATTGCCGGGAAATTCCAGGAAAAATTGGGTCGGAATTTTCCGGCGAGAATAGAGAGAGAAAGAGAGGGATTTTCGGGGGTAGGGTGGAGAGAGAAAGCGGTGGAAGAGAGAGGATGTATTTTTCTTTTATTTTTAATAATATACAACTGTTTTTATTTTTTGTTAGTTAAATTTATTTTTTTTGGAAGTGTCAAAAAAGGAGGGTGAGAATCTGTGACAATTGAAAAAAAGAGTGAATTTTTTTGGAGGAATTGTTTTTTAGGAGATTCCAAGAAGCATCAACCAATAATCAATGATTTGATTGATTTCACCATCTTAAAAAAGAGGAACCTTCTTTCTTCTTTGGGTGTGATTGTGTGAGCGTGTTCTACTTATGTACATGGGCTTGCTAACCCAACCTATCAATTCTACATCCCTTTCGTTCTCTCCACACGTAGAATCATACGAAATAGTTAAAAGTAGAGGTAGTAAATAGGTCGTTTAGATCAAATACAGGATAAATTCATTCAAAATGCATTGTATTCAGGTGACAAAAGTTTTGGGTTGAATACGAGTTAGGTGCAATCGGATACAAGTCAAATTTGGGTCCTATTAAATTAGGTCATTTTCAAGTTTGTTGATGATAAACTTACTAGAACAAATTAATTTTAGTTATATATATGATATCATTGAAGATGCAGTAATTTCAATCCATTTAAGTTTCTATTCATTTTGTTTCGACCTTAAGTCAAGTCAATTTCAGTTCATGCAAGTCTTTGGTCATCCACTTTTGATTTGGTTGGGTTTAGGTTATTCAACATATGATGAGTTAGTTTTGTCTACTGAAGACATTGCAAAAATGATCCGATGTGAAATTTTGGAACCATGTATATACATTTGATGGCCCTAATTTTTGAATTGGAATTTACTTAACCTACATTGACATGTTTCATAAATAAATATGGTAATGAATGTTGAAATTGGTCTATATTTTATGATAAGATCTTTGCTAATAAACTTGAAAGTTATATGAATTAAATTAATCGACCTAAACTCATATAGGTAAATTTAACGATTCCATTTCTCTTCTAACTAAATGGACAACAATTAAACCTAGCTAGTAAACACTAATCAACTAAAAATTAAGGATTCGACTTGCTTTTACTTGTATAAATCTAGAGGTGTCAATTCGGGTGTTCGGATTGGATTTGGTAAGGTCGTGTTAAATTGAGTCTATTTCAAATTTCAGTCATCTAATAATATTGTGTTCATACAAGTCAAAATCTGAATCGAGTATTTTCTAGATCGAATCGGTCGAATGAGGTTTGACACGTTAATATAACCATATGTCACTTATACTATTCCACCGTAATTAAGCCCATATCTTTGTATGAATCACTTTACAAAAATTGTTATACGTCATGTATGGTTGTATGTCTTGTTGAGATAGGTTTACATATACGTGACATAGGGTTGTATATCTTGTTGGGAGAGGATTGTTACATATGTGTTGCACAAAAATGAGTATATAATAAAGGTGTCTTAGCTTAAACGTTTTATTGGAGGATTTAAGAGGGGTAATAGGGCCTAGAATGGTACCGTCTTAGGGTAACTAGTTAGTCAAGGCTTCTTCTTTTTTTTCTTTTTTCTTTTCTTTTTTTTTTTTTTAGTTTTTCTGTTTTTTGCTTTAGTTTGTTTTTGTTTTTCTGCTGTTTTTGTTATGCTTTTGCTTTTTTCTTTTTAGTTATGTATCATCTTTTCTCTCATTTAGGGGCTTGCTCCTCCTTCGCACCAAAAAAAAAAAATCATTTATGCATTTAACCAAAATGCTTTGGATCTGAACAAGTTTTGATTGATGGACTTGAACCAAAAATTACTTGACATTTGAACCAAAAGTCAAATCATCACATTCGAACTCAATCCAATCAATCCATATTACAAGATAACATAAGCTATTATAATAAGTATATTCTTTAATAAAGCGAAGGAGGTAAGTTTTAACTTGTTTAGGTCTATTCACAATTTTATATATTGTATATAAAGTTCTTAATTATACTTATATTACAAAATGATGCTCCAAGTTATATTGCATGTGTATATTGAATCGAAAACTAATATGCTTTGAGGTCAATTTCAATAAGATCAATCATAATCGAGTTATCTTAATTCAAGTACAACTTGAGTCCAAATCAGATAGTTTGATTTTGATTAATCAGTTACAGATCAATCTTATTATCTTATAGGAATATAGAAGTTGCATTTGTACACAAAACACCTCTATATATGACTTCTTACATTATTTCTCAATTTCATTTGAAAAAAAAAACACCTTTTAAGTGGAGCCTAATGTAATATCATCCATCCAAACAAAACCTTGTTGTAAGATTATTTTCCCTACCTTTCACTAGCTAATAAGAGAAGGAAAGGGTCGGACTATGTTAAAAGGATGTAAAGAGCCATAGAATAATCATGTAGGGACAACAATACAAGTAAGTGCACATTTACTCTTTTGTGAATTAGAGTTGAAAAACAAATAATGAAAGTGGAAGGATAACGCAAGCTGAAAATTTAGTCAAAAAAAAAAAACCAAGCTATTGGCCATCAAATGATTATATTAATACAAAAAGGGTGATAATGTTTATTTATTTATGCGATTTAGTGGCTTAAAGTATGTGTCACACACTCTCACATAGTCACATACATCATACATCGTTTTCGTTTGATTGTTTCTATTTTATGTGCACAAGTTCTCTTAGCATGTGGTCCGTTTAAATTGGAACTTGATTCTTCTTTAATTAAGAAGATGCCAAGACTTGTTTCAAGTTGCGGTCAAATAGTATTAACCTCTACAAAATGGAGTAAATCAAATTATGCATTTTTTTCAAAGATATGATCGATTAGCTTTTTAAATAGGTTCGTGAAAACATCATGTATTAGAGAGAATGAGAATATTATAACATGAGTTTATGTCTGGATTGTCTGCGCTAAAGTACAAACTACATACTTTATTTATTCTTGTAAACATTAAGGATTTCATATAAATTACTACGCTAATAAATAGAAATTAGTCATTTTGTTAAAGGGCAACTCAAACTAAAGTTTAAATTGATAGTCGAGAAGATATAATACATCTACCACTTTCGATCAATCATTATAAAAAAGTCGAGAAGATATAAAATGACGTACTAAATTTTAGCATGTAAGTTAAACTGATGAGTGTCGTCTTTGGCTTATCAAAAGGATGAGTGTCCTTGGCTTATTCCAAATATGCAAGTATAATAAATAAAGAAAAGATAAGAAGGGCACCCTGAGAATTTAGTTGTGACAAGGAACATTAACTAATCAATCTATCATCAATAATTGTTATTGGTGTAAGATAGTAGAATACTCCTCGGAGGCTTTCTATTGATTAAGCACAACATATACACCCCAACTCTATTAGGGTTTACAATAATACACAATACACTAGTATATACAAAGCTAATTATGGACAAATAATATCTACATATCTAACACTAGTTTATTATTGTTAGACATAATTATATGTAAATATTATGGACAAATAATGGAGTATCTAGTTATCTACATATTATTATGTCTAACAATTGGTTTAGCAACACACCGATGTTGGCTTCCTTACTTCCTTAGCCACACTTTTAATTAACAAAAAAAAAAAGTTATTTTATGTTGGAATTTTGTCGTCTCAAAATATTCTAAAATCTAAAGTAACCAGTTAACCACCCTTGAGGCCTTCGACGTTGTGCATGATTGTTGTGATGGTAAATACGTTGATTTGAGATAGAGGGGGAAAGGGGGGGGGGGGATATAGTTTTTCCAATTTAAAAGTACGTTAAAAATTACTTGAGACTAGCTTTTTAAAAATTAAACCTTCGCTCCAACATTGGACATATAATATTTAGCCAATCAATAATCTAAAAATAACGAGTGAAATTTGGAATAATTCATGTTAATATGACTTTATGATCGAGCTAATACATCAATTCGAATCAATAATCTAATCAAAACTCTTACAACCACATTAAGGCCCTGTTCTTTTGAGCTTCTGGGCAGAGCAGAACAGAGCAGGGGTCAGCAGAGCAGAGCAGATTTCAGGGTAGCCGAGCAGAGCAGATTTCAACATTATTATTAATACTATTATTAATGTTATTATTATTAATGTTGTTGTTATTATTATTATTATTATTATTAATTATTAAAATTATTATTATTAATTATTATTATTATCATTAATAATTAATAATAATAATAATAATAATAATAATTATTATTATTATTAATTATTAATTATTAAAATTATTATTATTATTAATTATTACTAAAATTATTATTATTATTAATTATTAAAATTATTATTATTATTATTAATAAAATTATTATTATTATTATTAAGTATTAAAATTATTTTTAATATTAATAATTATTATAATTATTCAAAATAATAAATTATTATCATCAATACAATATTAATTATTATTATTGAATATTAATTATTATTGTTGTTATTATTAATTATTATTTGAAAATTAAGCAGAGTAGAGCAAAACAGAGCAGATTTGATTTGAGCAGAGCAGGGCTCAATAGAGTAGAGCAGAGCAGAGCAGCTGAGCAGCTCTAAAGAACGGGCCCTAAGTGGTGTTTTTTCTATATATCTGGTCACACTGTATGATTGGGGTTACTTATAACTTTATAAGGGTTATTTAGTTAGTCAAGGGTTACTTATTTTTTATTACTCAGTTGGTTAACGCGCTTTCACCTAGATTACTTATTTAGTTACTCAGTCGGTCAGGGTTTACTAATTATAAATTTACTCATTCGGTTAGCATCTTTTCTGTGTGAGAGTAATCTCTAATCGACCGAGTAACCCCTGAATAAGTAACCCCCGACAGGGTAACCATTGACCGATCGAGTAATAATTCTTGAATAAGTAACCCTTAAATAAGTAACCCCGGTCACACGGTGTGACCAACCACATATAAAAATTTGTGCAGATTAAGACTAGATATGATATATTATAAGGAGTAATGATATTATCATCAAATTTTTGTGTTTTAAAATAAGTAACCCCGGTCACACGGTGTGACCAACCACATATAAAAAATTGTGCACATTAAGACTAGATATGATATATTATAAGGAGTAATGATATTATCATCAAATTTTTGTGTTTTAAAATAAGTAACCCCGGTCGCACGGTGTGACCAACCACATATAAAAAATTGTGCACATTAAGACTAGATATGATATATTATAAGGAGTAATAATATTATCATCAAATTTTTGTGTTTTGATAACTAAAGTCAAGTGATTATTAAGGAGTTCGAGATAGGTAATGCTA